GCTTCTCCTCAGCGGTGCGCGCGGCTGCGGCGCCGTCGCATGAGGCCGTCTGCGAAGGAAATCCTCCCCCGGCAGAGCCAGCGGCACGGCCGGGATTCCTGCCAGCGCTGCGAATGCCTCCTCTCCAGCAGCACATCTTCTCACTCGGCTCTAATGGAGTCCATTAAGTTAACATCCGCTAATTAATTTTGCTGATTAGCTGCAGTAATGCAGAGGAGCATCAAGCATGACTGAGCCTGGCCCTGCTGCGTGGTGCTGCACGAACACTTCACAGCGGAGCCCGCAGAGCCCCGCGTCCCGGCTCCGGCGATGCCGGCGGGGAGCCGAGCTGCCAGCCGCGCTGCGGATGTACCACGGAGCAGGCGGAGCAGGCGAGCGACGCTCGGGGCTTGGTGCTGGGCAGCTGCACTTGTGCCTTGCCCCGGTGCAAATCAAGTGAAACGATGCTTGATCCCGCTCCGGTCGCTGTCGGGGCTGTTAATGCACTGCGGAGCGCGAAGACGCTTGAAGCCTCCATGTGCACTGACCCAGGGTGAAGCACGAGGGTGCCCGATGCAGAAACACCCTCTGCGGAGCCACCTTCGCACCAGAGGACACTTGGTGGATGTGGGTCACCCTGTGAATGCACCTCACTGGCTTCTCCACTGGGGCTGGTAAATCTGGTGAATCCTGCAAGAGCTTCCGAGGCCGTTTTGTGCCCGCCCAGAGTGACTCCTGCACATGGCAAAGATGGAGCCTGGAAACCCGGCGTCCTCCTTCCTCAGTGCGATGTGTCCTGCTGGTCCGTGTGGCCCTGCAGCTTGCAGCAGCTCCTCACAGCCATCTCCCCACCACCATGACATTCATTTCACTCTCTTGTCCCTGTGGCCACCGCAGATCCGAGTCGAGCTCGGAGCTCCACAGTGTCAGACGCCAAACGAGCAGGTAACGAGAGAGCCCCTGTCCCCTGCCGTCTACCTAGCCAGGACACGCAGAAGGGAGTTACTGTTATCCCTGTCTTAGAGCTGCAGATGGGTTTTCCAAGGCTCAAGCTGGCGGTTGTTACCCCTAATTTGATGTAGTCCCCCCTGCAGTCCCCCCTGCACACACCTCTGCCCCCGGAGAGGGAATCCTGTCTCAGCAGTGGCTTCATTTTCTCCCAAATACCTGCTTATTTGGCAGGTTTACATGCATTCCATCATTACCAACTCTCTGTGGTTATGCGCGTCGCCATGGGACGTCTCCATTCCTGCAATCCTAGCTCAAGCTCTCTAGGACTTTCCCTAGGGTTGAGAAAATACAGAATTCCCATCTGATACTTGTATGTGGTAATAGGGAGCAGAAGACTCGTCCCTTTGTGTGGTTTTGTTCAAGGCAAAGTGGTCTTAAGTGTCTTTTTCCTGCTAAGAATGGGATCATTCACTCAGAAATGTAGGTGCTAGAAAGACACATTGATATTATACAGAAGGGATCTATATTTATTGATAAAGAGGCAGGGCAGAGCTGCAATCCCTGCGTAGCCAAGACAAGGGCACTGCTGTGTTGCAAGGGAGACAGCTCCTCAAAGGCAGTTTGCAGCCTCGTGGTTGCAAAGTGGATAAAACTGCAACACGTCAAACGAGGCCACGATCCCATCCGCTGGGATCCCAATGGAGTCGACGGGAGCTCCCGAGCACCCGAAGGAGCCCCGGGACGGAGCAGAGCGGCCGCGCTCGGCGCGAGTCCTTCGGCACTGGCCAAACGCAGCTGCTCGTGCCCGTGAGGAGCCAGGGTAAGCGGATGCCTCGGAGAGCCCCGCAGGGCCTGAAACCCCACACCAGGCTGCACGCTAAGGAACTAATTTTAACTTGGAAGCGGCATCCTTTGTGCCAGCCACGGAGGGATTAGAGTCACAGTTTCTGAAATTATTTAAAAATTTCGCCAGACTTAATCATAGCTATTTATTAAATCCATTATCCTCTGCTGGTTATGGGACACTGATTTATTCAGCTGCAGAAATTATAATCACCTACATCCAAAAAAATCCTTTTTTTTTTTTTTCCCTAACGGTGCCCAGCAATAAACACTGCTTTAGTCCCCAAATCTGTAACTGAAGGAATTGAACGGACACAGCTAAGGTGAACGTGGGGTGAGACACAACGGCGGGACAGCGTGTCCTTGGAGTTCCCAGGAAAGCCCCCGATTTGGTATAAATCAGGTGTCACTGTCCTGC